GGAGTGAGGTGAAGCTGGGGTTGTGAAATTTGCGCGTAGCCACGGCTGACCTCATTCTGAGATCGAGCTGGCTAGCCTTGTTTTGTGACACTTTCTCCAATTCCCACTTTACATTTGATCTCAGAAGGAGAGAGGAAAGTGGGAAAAAGTAGAAGGCTAAAGCCAACGATCACGACGACTGGAGAGTGGTGCGGTTTTGATGGCGTAATTATAAACGTGGTGGAAGAGCGTTGAAGAGGGGGCTCGCCCTCCAGCACGCTGAGGGTCTGTCCACCAGTGACGTCATTAAACCGAACTGCTTTCAAAGGCGGAACTTACAATTAGAAAGCAACCCATAAGAGTCAAAGTAGAGGTGGTTAGTGGTGCCAGGAAAAAATCATGAGCACCAGCTTAGAACCCGGGAAGCGGGACCGGTCTCTTACCCGTTGCTTTCCCAGTAATGCGACTCTGATTGTGCTGCCCTTCAACGCGAACGCTCTCTGTGCTAAACGGCCAGAGTCAGACGGCGAGAGGGTGGGCGTGCCGCGGTGCGAGCGGCGGAGGTATGATCCTGGTGGGGCGCTGAATCATATCTTTCGCTAAGAACTGCGTGTCGATCCTCACCCTTAGGGGATCCGTGTTTTCATGTTCAAGTTCTGAACCTACCGTTTGTATCTAAAAGGCATTCAGCCGCATATACGGAACCGCTGGGCACAGAAATGTCTCTGCCACGAGCATCCACATCACTAGAGACTGCCGCTACATTCGTGAAAATGTCATACAATTCATTCAAATTGCATTTTTCTGAAAAGATACCGTTGTGATTATGCTATACATCACGTAATTTTCCCCTAGCTCGCCACACCACTATTACTCCTTTGGAAAAATGCCCGGCCCCTTTTATCTACAGACCAAATACGTCTACACCTAACCTTTGTCCGCTTCATTCCCACTGGGGAGAAGGACGAGTAGGAGAGCGAGAATCATTTTTGCCTCGCTAAAAACCTACAGTAAGTCATTTGACTTTTACCGAAATGAAAACAAATTTGCCGTTTTCAACTACCAATCATTACCGAATATCGCACGAAAAGAAGAGAAGGGAAAAAATCTCGGAAGTTTGTATTTGGCTTATTCAGCTTGCAGCCGATGGTGCAAGCCATCAGTACTGAATGAGCGTAGAAAAAAACTATCAGATTCGAACAAAGGCTGGACAGATGATCACGACAGGCATCAGGATTACTCAGTAGAACCTAAAGAAGAACTTGTCACATTAAATTAACCAATCAAATATGCTTCCATATTCTACACCCCATGAGATCAGTAAAAGCTTCACGGGCTTCTTTCCTGAAACTTCATTCCTATATCATTCTTTTTACGCTCAACCCTTGTTGCAACGATGCTGTTTCAATAAAGGGAAGATTCCAAGTCGCCATAGCATCAAGAAAGCTGTGCCTCCACCAAACGCTGATCTCAAATGTGCCTTCCTAACCAGCTAACCGCTTTTCTGAAGGGAGAAGTGAAACAAAAGAGCGCAATGCCATTGGTCGAGCCTCACAGTCAGGATCGAACCCTTACCGCTTTTGCTGTTTTGCTTCTCAGAAATACAGCTGAAACGCTTTAACAATCTACTTGACTGTATTCCCGAGGAAAAAAATCACAACAGTAAAATAATGTAGTGCAATAAGGCCAATCCCATGACGTCTTGACTGCGAACCCTGACCACGGATCTTTACACTCTTTTGCTTCGTAACTCCGATCGTAGAACATCGTTTAGGGCCGGCTTGATGAAACATCACGACTCACCCCCCCCCACAAAATTTTCAAAAGGATTCGGGAGCACATATGGGCGTACTTCTGTTTTATGGCCATGGCGGGATCCAGAGGTAAGTAAACCAGCCCGGCGTTTCTGCTAGGGGCCATATGCTGTATGTTGAGAGGGGATGGGGCTTCATATGGTCGACGGACTACTTGAACTCGGTCGGTACGGTAGATGAATAAATGATGCAATTGTGTCAGATGGTCCAGCTCCCGTCAAAAAGCGTGGTTATGTGCGTTTCTCAGGTCCGTCCTTCTCTTAAAGCAACAGTCCAGGGAGGGTTTCAACTAATCCAAAGCTGAGGTGTGGAAGCATGCCCCAGCCCAAGTGAAGTCGAAAGGAACTGTCACTGAAGTAAAAACTCACCTCTGAAATGCGTGAGAAGGGCTCGAAGTTCGTCGAAAAGGGCGGGTCACCGAGCCTCGGTTGACCCGCCTCCTTGCTGCTGTGAAGAGCGCTTGCTCGAATAGCGGTCGTTGCGGGACCGCCGCGCTGTATGAGGTCGATTCCATAAGAGCGCAACTTAAGCGCTTCAATTTCGATTGCTGGCAAATAGTTATGTATTTGCAAGCATGCATGGCTATTTGCCAGCAGTCAATTGGAGCGCATGTACTACGGGCAGGTTCGGACAACTCGTCCAACACACGTCTCCCTAAACGGCAGGGGGAGTCCCTGTCTAAGCCCCTGCCCGACGTTTTTTTCTACTTTTTCTTTCTCCATTGACCAACTTCTCACCTGCAACGTCATTATAGGTGGTCCTTACCCGCGAATTCGTTCCTGGATTGTTGCTTTAAGAAGAAAAAAAAAAAAAAAAAAAAAAAAAAAAAAAAAAAAAAAAAAAAAAAAAAAAAAAAAAAAAAAAAAAAAAAAAAAAAAAAAAAAAAAAAAAAAAAAAAAAAAAAAAAAAAAAAAAAAAAAAAAAAAAAAAAAACCAAAATGAGGGCCCGTTCAAGGGGCCGAGTTGAGTAGTCCGTCGACCATCGGGGACCCTATCCCCTCCCGAACATTCAGCATACGGCCCCAGCAGAAACGCCAAAAGGGCTGGTTTGCTTGCTTCGCGGGATCCATCCCTTTCCACTTGATATTATGAGATCCTTGAGTAATAGAGGACTCCACATAACTGATTTTGAGCATTCTATCGAAAAAAAACAAAAAAAAAAAAAACAAAAAAACCCGATAGGGGCGCTTCCTCTGGATTGAGCCCAGAAGGGAGGAGCTCGGGAAAAGAAAAGATTGCTCGCACACCCTGGGATGTCTATCAGTGTCTAAGGCCTTTAGTTCTTATTTGAAAAAAGGAAATGCGGTTTTAAATGCATCATCACCTCAATGCCCGTATCTTGCAATAGCACCAGATTTTACATTAGATGTCGAAGCATGCATGATAATAACATCGTAAGATAGCGAGTAAAAATGGAATTAGTGATGGCCTGACCTAGATAGGAATAAGAGAAGCAGAAAATCTCTTCAAACATATATTTGCATAATAATGACGTATATATGTGAACCCAAAGGTGGCGAAAGGAGCTGCAATAAATACTCGACGACGACGTTCGACTGCAACGCAGGAATGAACACCAGACATGTCTTCAATCTGCAAGGGCATTCCACTAAAAACCTGTTGTAATGATCATTTTGAGTGTTTTCGTTATCAGCGTTTTGTCGGTCGACCGACACGTTTGCATACCCATCCCTTCAGGACGCGCCATGCTCACGACTTTGACAGGAGTTCGCAATAGAAAATTTGAAGGTCCACTGGATCTGTACGGTAACTCCGGTTCCTACGACTGCTGTCCTGTTGCTCAAATTAAGCCTTTTGTGATGTTTTTGAAGAACAAGGGAGCTCTAACTGTTCTCACCGAGTTCTCAGCACGATTCCAGCTCTATCTTTTGGGATTCGCTCTGGGATTTCTGAGGAACCATGTGAACTATTGTGGATGGACTTTTTGAGGCGATCGATTTCATTACACAGCTGAATTGGGAACAATTTGTGCCTGAAACCAGTTTTGGTGGAGAAGACAGTGATTAGTCAATTGGGCTAATGAATCTGCACTTCAACTGATTTGAAGAGCGGAAAAACGGTAAAGACTAGACAAGCATTGATTGTTATTCCGGTAACTACCGTCAACTCCTTCCCGTAAGCCCGTCAATTCCTTTCTAATAAGCCATACCGTTCCTTCTTATGATCTCCGAGAAACGCTTCACAGCAGAGTAGCAAGATCGTACCACTCCTTTATACCCGATTTGGTACAGCCGAAAGGAATCTGAAAAACCAAAGCTCTGAGTAGGCAACTTCCAGCATTTCCCAACCTTGGCATAGTCAAAAAGGGTCAAGAATAAGCTTCCGCGATAACTGAGCTCCTCCAGAGTAAGCCACGCACTCATCTCCCATTAAAAGTGAATTTGATGCGTATTTGGCCCATGCATTGATTCGCGCGCTCGACCATGTTCGGGTATAACTTCCCAGACAACTCGGGGAACCTTACACTGACTGGAATAGCATGGGTAGGAGACCATTGGCTAGGCGAAGCTTCGATGCGCTAAGCGTGCACATCGATAGCGACCAGCTTTCCCACCACACCCATCTCCACTCAACGAAAACCACCTGCATATTTTCAGCAAGTGTACGAGTGAATCGTTTACTGCGTTTTCATGATTAGCTGGACCCCAGTTCCATTCTTCAAGATTGTGTTTCGCCAGGTCACGGTGCGGCAACGCGCACATCCGCCGTGGGCCGCGCGCGCGGCAAACTACGCAACAATCGACAAGCGACATTTCCTCCACGCTCCTTCACCCTCAATCAAACTATTTCCATCTCGCGATGTCTGCGTCTTCACTGCTTCCTCTTCTGAATGAATCCTTCAAGCACACTGAAGAGCCATTCTCGACGCGCGGCAGGCGACAAATATGCAGCCGCGCTGTGACCTAAAGATACAGTACCCTTTCAAAGAGGCGATGAACATCTTCCTCCAGTAGAAAGTTCTCTATATCTTACTGAATCATCTACAAACGCCACAGAAAACCAGAAACTTCATTTAACGAGACAACAATATACCTATTAAATAACATAAAGAAAATGTATTGGAAAACCCATGCATCATATCCCATTGACACGTTTATCGAATACAAAAGCCGCCGTGTGACTACGCCCTATGCTATCGCTATGCACACATAGTGATATCGGCTAGAGCTTCGAATCCACGCCTAGTCAGGCTTGTATAAAATGCCATTTGTCAATATCATCCGGTAGAGCTTTTTGTTCTGCTGGTTGTGGTGCTGCGTCGACGACCGATTTAGCAAAATCATGAGTGGCTTGATGTGCTGCTCCTTCCACAAAGCACTGCCTGCAAAGAATGACACATCACGAGGCTTGAACACGCTAACAACCTATTACTTGATGGTTAATTTTGCTCTTCTGAGATACAAAAATTCACTAGAAGTAGGGGTTAGATTAGGTAAAGCCTAACCTGCCTATCAAGGGGCTACTGATGCTGCCCCTTGATAGGCAAATTAGGCTGCGTTAATCTGAAATTTGCGTTAATTTCACGGCGCCAACTCGGAAATTCGACACTGGATTAAAGACCGTCCATTGTTTCAAACTTTCAGGACTCCCTCGCGCACAAAGATGAATCATTGCCTATGCGACAAAGAAAATAATAGAGCCAGGAAAGAAAGGAAGTAATCTAGACGAAAAAGGCGTGCACATGGGAACGGCTGCCGGCAATTACAATCACTTGGTATACTTGAATTTAGAAGAATTTTTAAATTTCTTAAGCATGCTAGTCAAATAATAGTTTCCTCGACGTTCATAGAAAAGCACTTAGGTTTTCTCGTTATCCTAACCGAATGAATCAAAAACTAACACAAGCAATGCATAACTTGCCAAGCAGGGCCAACATCTTTACAAGAAAAATTATCGAAACGCATTTATTACAATTCTAGTGCTATCGAAAACGAACTCAAGATTATAGTCCAGAAATCATTAGAATTTAACAGAAACAAAACCATGGTAATAAACAGACTGCCGTAAAGGTCGTTGAATTACACTCAGGCTAACGAATCTGCGCACCTCCGTTAGCTTTCATGAATCCTAAGCATTTCCATCCAAAAGCCGGAGAAGCATGTGCAATGTTATGAAAACTATGCGCATACAAAAATGAGTGATCGCCATCCAACTCATCCACCTAGTCATTGCCTTGTTGCCATAGCAAGAATGTCACTTCGTTCTCAAAGCTCCACACAGACATACCCAGAAAACGATAAGTATTCAAACGTACGTTTTCAGCTTCGGTGATGCCTCCTTTATAAGTGCTTTCCAGAACTCGTTCGTTTCGCTGATCACTTTATGTGCGTAGTCTCGATCTTTGAATTCCCCATTGAATGCGAATTTGTTTTCCGGTTTCCCGGTCGGGATCTTGTATATGCGGAACCACTCATGGGTAGCCTGAAATAAGAGAAACGTTCACGGCAGGGATGAACTCAGGAACACGCATTCAAGTCAGAAATCGCTTCTCCATCTATCAGAAAAGTAAATCTTGACAAACTCCAAGAGTTCGACATATCTGGCTTATCTCCTTTGCGAATACCCTTCTCTAACCATAAGCTCCTACTCACCTTCAGCAATCCAGGGAAATGCTTCTCCACATCAGCAATGTTATTGATCTGAGCCGCAATCGGATCGTCAATATCGATTGCTACTAACTTCCAATCGGTTTCGCCCTCATCAATCAAGGCCAAAGTTCCAACTATTTTTACCTAAAGTCGCGTTAAAGTAGATAAGCACGAAAAGTAAGTAAATCGAGTGAAAAGATCCAAAAAAATTAATTAAATCTTACAGGAAGCAAAAGGTAAAACATCTAACAAAAAACAACGATTCGATAAAAATGAATGTCTCAAAGTAAAAAATGGGTCAAAGTATCAATCCGAAGACTGAAATAATGGCAAGAAAAACTCACCCTGACGACTGCACCTCGTCCCTGTACCTTTGATCCGATCTCGATTACGTCAATTGGATCGTTGTCGCCCTTTGCTCCAGTATCAGGGACTGTATGGTTCGGATCCTCCCATGTCTATAACAGTCCAAATACACTGTATTTTCTATAGAGCAGGCACAACTCTTCACACTCACCTGAGGTAATGCTCCATAGTTCCATATATAACCTTTGTGCGGAAAGATGTTATGCACAAACCGTGGCAAGCCCTTCTTCAAATCTTGCTTAATTGGATTCATCGGTTCTGCGGTGGCCATCTGGAACAATATTTATGCGTCAAAAGCACGGGCAGACTGAATGAATGTGTATTTCTGAGGACAGCCCGCTCTTATAGCAATGAATGCCGGGAAAAAGGGTTGTACATAATTCGTACCTCCATTTTCGCGTTTGTCCAACGTGGGATTTCAACAATCATGTTGTAAATCTTATTAGCTTCATCGGCAAACAACGGAATGTCGTGCCATGGTGATATAACACCTTCAGGACCCTCTGAAACAATCGAAATCGATTGCACGCTACGTTTTCTCCAAACTAAATTAAAATATTAGAAAATAATGATTTCTCTAACGCACTGATGAAAATCCGGTAGTCAGTCCCGTACAGAGATCCACGTTCAATCGTCTCATACTTAATCGCATCACCGGCCGCCATACTCCTTTTCGGCTCAATTTCCTCTGTATCGATTGGCGAAGGACCGGGAGCCCTGCAAAGCGGGTGTACATAGTGAGACATCATAGGAAAAGTTGGCCATTCAAGCAAGCCATTCCTAAAACAACTAAGACCAAGGGACATTTTACCATGATGCTGAGAGCAACAATAGGATCTGCTTGCGCACTTGACATATGCGACAGATCAAAAGCGTAAAATGAATGCGTTTACAAAATGTCCAAATGTACCACACTCACATAACCCTCCCCAAGGCCAAACCATGTCGAATTAACGACCTATCAGACCTTAACGAATCATACCCAACATAGACAAGGTATAGAAAGACACAGCAAAGCAAATTGTTAAGGTTAAAAAATACGCCTCGTCGCACAGAGTAGGAATATTTTTGAGTTCAGATTAGCCAAAGAATGAAAAAAAAACACGTAACACAGCTGAAGGCCTATAATGGTGGGAGGCCGCTACTACGAACCACATCTGCTATAGACAAGAATATTTCGATCTTTGTCCTTCGGCAGGCAACTAGCGAAAACCGATAAGAAGCAACGCGCCAAAAGGCGAGAGAAAAAATTGCAAGAACCAATGGATAGGAATTCACGCCATAGCAACCAGACCGCAATTGGCACTTTACCAGAGATTCAGGACTTGCAATGCTTTTGGGAACGCGCTGTTTAATACGACAAGGGGAGATTTATGAAACATAGGAAGGGCATCTCTTTTTGCAAGCCATGGGAAGAAAAGAAGCAGAAACATGTTTTTGGTTCAATTCCCCTGATAAAACTAAGTATTTCAAAAATTTTGTTTATTTTAAATCCATATATGTCTGGATTTTTAATCGATGACCATCCTTTTCATAACCAACCACTCAATGCAGAATTTTGCGGCTTAATGGAATTGCAAAAGTTGCACTTCTTATAAGAATGTTTCCCTCTCCCTTTTAGGCATTTCTAGAGCCGCTCAAGGAAAATGAGGCTTATTTCGATGTCCTTGCGCGTGCACGTAAACCTTGCAAATAAAACAGTAAATGAACCTAGACGAACCCCCTGGTTGCAACCCAGTCTGGACTCCCACATCTCTGGTCACAATGTTGGATTTCCCTTCTCTCACTCACAATAGAATTGTTGTGTTTAATATACACCAATTGAACTAAATTGGCTATTTTGTCATATAGGTGACCCCTATAAAAATTAATATATACTGGCTCCTAGGCCAAAACAAAACTGCGATCGAAAAAATTACTATGAGTCATCACCCGGAAACAATTTCTCAAAAACGATGGCAACCTCTAAGAAACAACAGAACCCTTCCAACGAATAAATTTAGCGCACTACGTCAGTAAAACCGCGGGCAAACATAAATGTCGAAGAGTGCACAATCAATGAATGACAGATCAAGAATACTGCAATGGTACGCCGTTTGCAGACAGCGGTCGCTAGTCGTTTACACTGGGACGGAACGATAAATAGAAACAACGACGAAATTACCATCCTTTATCGTAAATTAGCACTCTTACATCTGCATCGAAGGCATTCTCGACGAGCAGCACTGCCCAGGAAACGGTGAATTTAGTAATCAGAGAACCAACGTAATGGTCAGATACATGATGGTTGAGCTACTAGAACTATAGCACCTTATATGGAAAAAATGGAGATTAAGCGAGCCAACGAAGTTGATAAAACAGCCTTGAGCTCTATTGCAAGATACGCGGTCATTGTGATGGTATTGTATTATATTTGAAACAGAGTATAACATCGCCTTCTCGTTAAAATCGAGACTAAGACTTTAAGCAGGGCAGAAGAGGCTCCCAGGTACATAAGCAGTTTTCATTTTCCCTTGAGTTCCTGGCTTTGGGAACACATCCCGTATCGGATCTCCCAAACCAACACAACCTTCCTTCCTTTCAGGTCCTATAGTACCTGTCTCGCACCACGAGCACACCATTTCTACCTTCGAGCCGCCATTTCTACGATTTGGTGACAAGTCTGGACGTAATTTCACGGTTGCGTGTGAATGATGGTGGACAAAAGAAGGTAAGGTATGGTGGATGGGATAAAAGAGCGCTTGATAATAATCATACTTTCTTTCCAAATGAGCAGAATACGTGCATGAATATTGTGAGGAGGTTGAAAGTAAAAGCAAAAAATGGCTCACTATCGCCAACCAGGATCCTGAGGCATCGGGTTCAATAACAATTGGGTTTAAGGAAAAAAGTACAGCAAATCAAGCTGAGAACAGGAAGTGAAATAGCGCCTCTTTATGATTTCGAATTATGCTATTGAGCATGACTTTGTACTACCCTAACGATAAGTGGCGTGATTAGGGAGCATCCATGCGGAATGGACCTAGAAGTCGGTTAACTTCGAGAAAAATGAAAACTGCCCACATACGCCCTCACGTAATCCCCCTAAAGCTTAGTCCGAGGGGAGGGAGCGAGTGGGAACTAGGCGCGGTGGGGTCTGGGTGTTTGCGCTCTTTGCATACCGAGCGTCAGCAACACAAGCGCCCCTGTTGC